ACACAAGAACTCGAAATTAACCTACGTCAAGGACACGAAAGCGGACCCCAAGGTATCAGCATCTATGTTGTTAAACCAGGACGAAGAAGATCGGGAATATAATTGTTTCTACAGTTGCGCCTTGGGATACATTGATACTCATATTGCTGGGAGGAAGATACCATTCATGGTTGATTCCGGCTCTATGGTCAATGTTATCCCAAGACAAGCTGCAATTGATCTCGACTTGGAAGTTGTGGAAGTAGACATACCAATGAAGGGAATTGGCGGTGATCGGTGTGATATCAAGGGTGTAGTCGAGAACTGTGCCATTAGTATCGGAAGATTTACCGGACCAGTTCATCTTTTTGTCTCTCCGCAAGCACAAGACTGTATCCTGGGACGACCATTTTTGTTTGATTACGATTGCACACTCGATTACCCCGGATCAGGCGAATTACTATCTTTTCAAGGCGATAGTGGACGACGAATTACGGTACCTATAGCAAAAATAGGACAAGGACGTGGATGGAATCAGCTCAAGAGTCTGAATCCGTCAGGAGCAGCATACTCTCATGCATACCAAACACAAGCTCCGCTGTCGGCAACCAACGAGGATCAACCACGAACACCACTGACAGCAGCATTATCATCACACTTTTCCGACGACTCCGAAGATCTCTCTAGGCCCTGTAAAGTCATGAGAAAGTTCGGATGGATAAAGAAGTTCTGTGGTTATCTCAAGAATAAACCGAATCGCAAAAGGAAGAATCACACTAACATTGTGGTTACGGTACACCAAGACGAGGATATACGAATCAATAGCTTGCTGGTGGATGGATTGGGTACGACAGTCCAAAAAGACATGTGCAGTAATTGGAAGGACGACAACTTGTGGTGTATGACCAAATACAAACCAGTTGCAAAGAAGGTCCGACCGGTCAATCAAGCCATGCCGCAATCAATCAATCCCCCATTACAAAGACCACCATTGTCACGAGACCCTTATAAGACACCGTTGACACCCAACCCACCACCATTTCAACCAACATCAAAAATTACGGAAGAAAGGTTGGGTGTGATAAACTTTGGACCAGAAGGATGGCTGTGGCCTGAAGAAATCAAACTTTTCAGACACCTCATTGTATTACGGGAGAAAGCTTTGGCATTCTGTCCAGCAGAAAGGGGGTTATTAAAACACTCTTATGGCTTACCTTATGTCATTCCAGTGATTGATCACATCCCGTGGCAGAAGAAACCAATCCCAATCCCAGCAGCAATCAAGAACGAATATGCCGAATTAGTACGCGAACGAGTTCGAACAGGATTATACGAACAATCGACTTCAAGCTACTCAAGCCCTGTCTTCTGTGTAGCTAAACATGATGGGAAATTACGAATAGTCCATGACCTACAAGAAATGAACAAAGTAACAATTAAAGACGCTGGTTTACCTCCCGCAACTGAGGAATTTATCGAAGCTTTTGCGGGAAGGGCTTGTTATGGTCTGGGTGACATCATGGGCGGCTACGACGAGCGGGAATTAGCAGAAGAATCAAGGCCACTCACGACTTTCGACACACCACTTGGACGATTTCAACTTACGAGGCTCCCTCAAGGCGCAACCAACTCAGTAGCAGTATACCAGGCACAAATGATGTGGATCCTGCAAGACGAGATCCCAGAATATGCTGGTGTATTTATTGACGATGGTGGAATCAAAGGACCTAGGACGACCTACGGCGGCGAAGTATTAACTGACAATCCAGGGATTAGACGTTTCATTTGGGAATATGCTGTAACCTTGGAACGCATACTGTTCAGGGTTGAAGAAGCAGGACTTACAGTTTCAGGAAAGAAATTTGCTTGCTGTGTTCCGGCTTTGGATATCGTGGGACACGTGGTTTCTCAGACAGGGCGGCGTGTTTCTAAACAAAAACGGAATAAGATTTTAACATGGCCAACACCTAATAATCTTACAGAACTCAGAGGATTCTTGGGCTTAATCACTTACGTACGAATATTCATCCAGAACCTCTCAGAAGTTGCAGCTCCTTTGAGGCAGCTAACTAGGAAGGAGAAAGAATGGATATGGAGTGACGGATGTGATAACGCATTTGAGAAACTCAAACAAATTGTTGGTAAAGACATTGTACTCAAAAGCATCGACTATTCGAAGGACGCCGGAATGATCAAACTCGCCGTGGACTCAAGTTTCATTGCAGCGGGAGCTGTTTTGATGCAACAGGAACTTGATACAGGATTGGACCGACCAGTACTCTACGAATCAATAGTATTTTCACCAGTCGAATCACGATACTCTCAGCCTAAATTGGAATTGTGTGGAGTAGCCAGAGTTTTGAAGAAATTGCAGACTTACCTCTGGGGCCAACATTTTGAACTCCAAGTGGATGCAAAATCTTTGATTCAAATGATAAACTCTCCATCTCTTCCCAATGCACCAATGACCCGCTGGGTGGCTTTCATCCAGTTATTTTCTTTTGATATAGTACACAAGCCAGGAAAAACATTCACACTACCCGATGGACTCTCAAGACGACCAATATCCAGTGACGACGAGGAATTCTACAAGGATCAGGAAGATTTTGATGAAGACGAACCAGTAATGAAGCCTTGCTACACTTTTCAGATCTGTTCTCAATCTGAGATTTTAGAAATGAAGGAATGGGAAGCGCCTGGTTATTGGCGAGACCTCCGTCACTATTTGGAAACCCTGGAACAACCTGTCACAATGGATAAAGTAGAATTTGCAAAGCTTCGACGAAAATCAGCCAACTTCTTCAGCAGCGATGGACGACTCATGCGGAAACACTCACCGGCACCACAAATCGTAATTTCAAAGGATACCTATCAGGAAAAACTGCTCCGGAAAGTACACGAGGAATTGGGACACCGGGGAATTGAAGAGACATACCAGCGACTAGTAACTAGATTTTGGTGGCCAAGCTTGAAAAAGAAGGTCAAGAAATGGGTACAAAGTTGTGAAGCCTGTCAGAAACGAGACCCTCTGGTACCAAGAGAAATCCGAAATGCAACTGGGGACAGTTTTCTTTTTGGACGAGTAGCATTGGACGCTTGCCACATCAAAGCAGGACAATACAAATACCTTATTGTTGCGCGGGATGATTTGTCTGGATGGGTTGAGGCGGCACCTTTAGTTAAACTTACAGCAAGCAATGTGGCCAAATTCCTTTTGGAATCCTGGGTATACAGATATGGTTCTATCAAATCAGTTACTGTGGACAATGGCGCAGAGTTTAAAGAAGATTTTATTGACGCTGTCAAGAAAATAGGTGCTACCCTTAAATTTACAACACCATATTATCCTGAGGCAAACGGGATGGTTGAACGCGGGCACCGGCCAATTAAAGATGCACTTGTTAAATTGTGCGGAGAATCTGGTGGCAAATGGCGCGAATATCTCCCCTTGGTATTATTTTCAGACAGGATTTCTACAAAACGGACGACCGGATTTACACCATATGAGCTAGTTTTTGGACATTTACCAGTATTGCCAGTGGACCTTGAGATGGACACCTATTTAGGGGTTGATTGGTTAGAAATTAAAACTACATCAGAACTCTTGGAAGCACGAACCTTGCAACTAGAAAGGCGGGACGTACTTTTGAAGGAGGCCCATGAAAAGATGCTCAGATCAAGGGAGGATTCTGTAAGATACTGGGACCGAAAAATGGCAGCACGACTACGAAAACCATTGGACACAGGAGAATTCGTTTTAGTCTACAACAAAAGTTTGGAGGACCAGTGGGGGAAATTATTTGCTAATAGGTGGAATGGACCATTTAAAATCAAAAAACAATTACCCAAAGGCTCTTACATTCTTGAGGAACTAGACGGAACTGAACTCAATCGAACGTACGCGGCATCACATATTAAACGATTTTACCCTCGAGGACGGCGACTGAATGAGATTACTGAAGATGAGGAGGATCCAGAAAGCGGTAGTGAACATGAGGAGAGGCATAGTGACTCTGACCATGAAGACTCCCAGGATGGATCTGAGGACACTGATTCAAATTAATCTTGGCTATCTCCTGGGCACGAGACTAAACTGTTCAAACATTGCAAATAATTGTAATAAAATGTATTAGAAATAATATATGCGGCATGAATTCTTTTAAGTTGGGGGAGGAAATCCTTACCTTTTTTCTTGACGGGGTTGATGCTGGCAAAAATGAATAAGCTGGCTCGAATTTTTGGAAGTTGGGGGAGGAAAACCTCACCACTCTTGCTTGAATTGGACCAGTAAAAACAAAAACAAACATCGAAATAAAAAAAAAAAAAAAAAAAAAAAAAAAAAAACCAAACCAAAAAAACCAAAACCAAAAAAAAAAAAAACAAAAAAAAACAAAACCAAAACCAAAACCAAAACCAAAAACCAAAACCAAAACCAAAAAAAAAAAAAAAAAAAAAAAAACCCACCCAAAAAAAAAAAAAAAAAAAAAAAAACACACCCAAAAAAAAAAAAAAAAAAAAAAACCCCCCCAAAAAAAAAAACCCCCCTCTCCCTGTTTTGGGGGGCACATTCCCAGGGGGGGAGAGAACACTCTCTCTGGAGATTGTGTTTTTCTTCCTTCAAATTTTAGGCCCCCCCCCAGACGATTAGCCCACCCCAAAATAAGATCCGAAAAAAAAACGCTATGAATTTGGAGGCCTTTTTTTAGTTTCACCAAAACATCCTTAAAAAAGGATTTCTCAGAATATTTTTTTTTTTTTTTTTGAGCCTAGTTATCTCATATATCTCAGCTGTGTCTCTCACTCACTCACTAAGGTTGGGGACAACCTTTTTTAAGTTGGGGGAGGGGTATGGGTTGGCTTACTAGAAGAGCAAGCTGAAAGAGATTCTGAGATAACTAAGTAAGGAAAACAAAAAATTTTTTGGGTTTTACAAACTTTTATAATTTTTTTTTAGTTTTAGAAAATTTTCTACCGATTTTTTTTGGTTTTAGCAATTCTTTTACCCCTGTGAGATTTGGAATTTAGTCGTCCATTGAAGCTGGTTTTCGAGGCGGAGGCTAAGTCTGGGTTTCAAGAATGGGGATCAGAAAAAACTGAATCCACAAACGGTTCTAAGAACCAAAAACAAAAACTTACGGTTAGCCTAAACTCTACGAGTCATGGTGCGGTGGCGGCCACTCGCAAATCGGAATAAACGAACCCGGCTCTCGTGCTCTGCTGCATTAGCAGCAGGGTAAGTTGTGAAATGATTGACCATCGCAGTAGTGATGGACTCGTAGAGGTCATCAATATGCTGGGGTGTAAATGCATATCTATCAAAACGGGCGGGGTCGGCGCGTCGATCGAGCAGAGCTTCCACCTGGTGACGCAAGAGGAGGTGATAGTCGGCAGGGTCGTACATCCCAGCTGGAGTTGGGGATGGAACGCGGGGTCGAGGAAGGACGAAGTCCTCGGCCGAAGCAACGCTGCTGATCGAAGAGGACGAATTAGAGCGTACGAGGTTTAGCTCCTCCACACTACTGGCTGGTGTGGAGGGGATGCGGCTCGGTGGCGCGGTTAGCGGGAAGTCAGGGGCACCAATGGAAGCCCGATTGACAGTGACCACCTAGACAAACCCAAATCAGCAATAGCAGAAAAGAGTCCAAAGTGACATCAGGATACTTACCGGGGTGCGGAGGCGGTTAGGCGCCTGTCTTCGTTGATTGAAGTGATGAAAGGGCGAGATTGAACCACGGGGTCTGAAATTTGATCCTAGGTTGAAACTCCCTCGGAATCCGCCTCTGTTGAAGCCGATGTTGTACCTACGATAGCCGGGAGCAGGTCGAGCGAGGCCGGGACCGCTATAAGCTGGGGGGGGACCTCTCCCTGCTAACTGAAAAGGAGGCCCATTGATGACGGGGGTAGCACCCGCAGGCGAGATCCTAGCAGCTAGAGGCAAACTACCAGCGGTAGTAGTCACAGGTGCAGGGTGATTGGCTGGGTGATCTACAATCATCGCCATGGGATGGTGCACCCTGGCCTAAACAGAAAACAAACACCAACCGATTGATTAGTTCACTACCCGCTCAGGAGGTTAAGATCGTCATGAGATGAAGAAGACGACTCACCGTAGCAAACGGTTGGGGATGAGCCTGAGTGGGGTATGGAGTAGGAGGTCGGTCAAAGATGGAGCGAGCCATGGAACTGGGGATGGGAGTTGATGAGGATGGAGAAAGAAATGGCAGGCGGGCCTTGTCTTTTATCTTGAGCAGCTCCCGGAAAAGGACGAGTCTGGACACCCATCGAACACGGACAGAGGACGCGGTATTGGCGAAGAGGATACGAAAAAGAGGATCAACCGTTCTCCCGGCGAGATCGAACCAGGGCGGTGCTTTGGCGGCTGCCGCCATTTCCTTGCTTCGTAGGGTTAATGGCTGCAGGTGACCTGTGGAATAGAACAACACACACTTTCAACAATCAGCCACAACCAAGCATTTAAACATAGGAGAGAAGGGGAGAGGCACATACCGAGTTAGTTGAAGAGAGCACGGTATGGCGGCGAGATCGAAGAAGGAGCTATACTGAGGAGGGAAGTTGAACAAGACAAATAGAATCAAGAAATATACTTACCTCCGCCAGGAATCCTCACCCTATGATACGATATCGGCTAAAACTAAAATCCGCGCCGGACTGCCGAAGCGGAGGAGCTGTAAACTCTAACTAACAGGTCACCTGACCTGTAGAGCGGAATCTGGGGAAGGGGCTGTGCCCTTATACACCCCAAGGCGGTGTAACCCTCACGGTCGGTTAAAGTTTAAGCCTTCAGCCTGGAGTACAGCCGGGCGACTTCTTCAGAAGGTCCCCGGGGGTTCTCCGAACCCGATCTTGAGCCAAAAATCACCCAGAGGCCGCGCTGCGCCTACTGCGCACCCCCTGCGACTGGATACGACAATACGAGGACACGACGAGGCCCGGACGGCCACACGACGACGCGACCGCGGACTGCGAACTGCGCGCGCAGCAAAAATCCGGACCCTTAAGCAAAAAAAAAAAAAAAAAAAAAAAAAACAATCGCCCCACAAAGTGAGAAACAACAAAGACCCCCCTGATGACAAAAGTGCAAAGGGGGGTACACAGGCAGAGTGTGGCCCAGTTTTTGAAAAATTGGGCAAACACAACTCTGAAAGTTATTAAACTCCACTGTGAATATTTTTTAAGCTTAAATGGAATGGATTTAACACTGCAGCGCAGAATGCCCACGACGACGGCCTTTTGGCGGAATTGTCTGGGGACAGACAATAAGTTGGGGGAGGATGTGGGATACTTTATGGGTTCCCATCCAACAACTTCAAAAATTTTATATTTTCTTGTATATACAATAATATTACACCAAATATGGCTCCAGGAAGGGATTCCAGGGCCAAAATCACCCTAGAGGAGCAGGCTTGGACACATGTAACCCCTCTGTGTTGCATGTTACACCCCTCTTTTACTCACAGGTAGGGGGGTCAAGCACCCTTACATGTTACAAGGATTCAGGTACACATTTCACCCCTCCGGGCCATGTGATCTGGCATCTGTACATCTCAATCAAGTACAATGGAAGTATGCAGGCACAGCGTACAGGTTACCTTGGCAACCTGTCATGCGAAGCGTACAGCCTCAAATACAGGATGACATCATGCGGCTTACAAAACACAGCCTGCAGGTTGCTAGGTTGCATAGCAACTGTTGCACAGCTTGTCAATCCGACGGAAACCACTCAACTTCTCAAATCACATCATGTAGGCTGTACCACCAGCCAAAACCCCTCATGTATTCTTCCATCTTGGCCAAGTTCCCTCATGTAAGGCTGTACAACCAGCCAAATTCCCTCATTCCTGGCTCCCCTGGAGCCAAAATACCTCATTGTTGTCTATATAAGGAGGCCCTTCCTCCCAGTTGTAATTTCTCCCCAGTAGACTTCCTGCATTCATTTCCCCACATAACAGGCAAATCACTGCTCACTCCATAATATTATTTGTTCCCCAATATTTTGGTTTTACAATTATAACAACCCTTACATACAATTATTACAACATCTTTACACATAACAGCAACCCATTTTTGCACCTGTCCACCTGTTAAACAACAGAGTATCTTTTGATACACTCCACTATCACTAATTAAAAGCTGCCAAGCTAAGATTGGTGGTCTTGTTTAGTGTAGTACACAGGAAAGGCAGAGGTTACCTCACACATCCCTTTCCGAACTCAGCAAAAGGTTCTCACGAACACTTTTGAGCTTAACACCGTCCATCAACCAGTGCGTCAATTGTCTCCAGCGTTGTTAGGAACGCTGAAGGAGAGGCTGGCGGGGTTGCAAGAGGCCGGATTTATTCGGCCGTCGACCTCCGCTTGGTCTTCGCCTATAGTCATGGTCAAACACCCGACATCAGGGAAGGTTCGTCTGTGTGTAGATTATCGTAAAGTGAATGCACTTACGAAGAAGGATCGGCATCCCTTGCCGATCATTCAGGAATGCTTCGACTCGTTGCGAGGGGCTCGTTTCTTTTCGAAGATCGACCTGCAGCAAGGTTTTCACCAGATGAAAATCGCGGAGTCGGACGTACCTAAGACAGCTTTTGGCACTAAGTACGGCCATTTTGAATGGTTAGTTATGCCATTCGGGTTAGTTAACGCCCCTAGCACTTTCCAGAGGATGATGACTCACATCTTGCGAGACTTCATTGATGTGTTTGTCCAGGTTTACCTGGATGATATCTTGATATACTCCGGGAGCGAAGACGAGCATCTCGAGCATGTGAGAGCGGTCTTGGAGGTCCTTCGGCGGGAGGAGTTGAAGTGTAGTGGGGCCAAATGCTCCTTCGGAATGAAGGAGATACAGTACGTCGGCCATGTGATTAGTCACAACTCGATCAGGCCGATGGAGGAAAAGCTGAGTTGTGTGCGGGATTGGCCGCGCCCTAAGACGGTGTTCGACGTTAGATCGTTCCTCGGTCTCTGTGGTTTTTACCGGCGCTATGTTAAGGATTTCGCGCAAATCGCCAGTCCGTTACATGATCTGACGGCCGGCGGAGTGACGAAACGGCAGGCTGTGCAGTGGCTGCCGGTTCAAGAGGCCGCTTTCCTCCGGCTAAAGGAGGCCCTGGTTAGCGCGCCGCTGCTGTTGATGCCGGATGTGTCGAAGAGGTTCGTCATGGAAACGGATGCTTCGGATTTCGCAGTCGGCGCCGTGCTTCTTCAAGATGGCGAAGATCTCCTTCTCCACCCGGTCGCGTTCGAGTCGTGCAAGCTGAATAAGGCGCAAAGGAACTACCCGGCGCAGGAGAGAGAATTGTTAGCTATCATCCATGCATGGAGGAAATGGCATGTGTACCTGGATGGTGCAGTCGAGACGACGGTAGTTTATACTGACCACGCGTCGTTAGCATACTTGTCTACGCAGTTGCTACCCTCGAAACGCCTAGCTCGGTGGATAGAAGAGTTCGCCGAGATGGATATTGAGATCAAGCATAAGAAGGGGACAGATAACATCGTCCCTGACGCTCTGTCGCGTCGCAGCGATCTGGTGGTGATGGAGGAGGTGTCCGGCCAGCTACATGAGACTGACTGGCCCCTTATCATTCCGTATCTGATTGAAGGGAGAGACTTACCGGACGGAATTCCGGAGAGTCTAGTCATTCGGGCCAGGGACAATCAGAAGCTGTTCGAGTACGATCCGGAGAACGAGACCCTGATCTATCTGGGTCGCCGGGGGTTACGAGAGCGGTCGCCGTTTGTCGCCTTCGCCCATCGCTTTGATCTACTCCGGTCGGTTCATGATGACTTGGGCCATAGAGGCCGGGACTGCACGCTGCAGGTCCTACGGGGTAGAGGTTGGTGGCCTAAGCGCTACGAGGATGTGCAGAGTTATATCCGCACTTGCGAGTCCTGCCAGTTGCATGAGAGACCTCATGACAACCAGGAGACCGGCTTGCAGAGGCCGTTGCCGGCGGTAGCGCCGTTTGAACGTTGGTCTTCGGACCTTATACAGATGCCAGTAAGCGCGAAGGGGAAGTACAAGTGGATCTTGACCGCCATAGATCATTGTACTTCCTGGCCGATAGCGGTCCCGCTGAAGGAAGCTACGGCCGATGAGCTAGCCGAAGCCATCTTCGTGCATGTAGTGTGTCCGTTTGGAGCGCCGAAGGAGTTCTTGACCGACCGTGGGTCGAACTACCTTTCAAAAGGGTTCAGGAGTTTCCTGAAGGCGACGGGAGCTGCTCAGGTGTCTACATCTGGGTACCACCCCCAAACTGTTGGAATTCTGAAGCTATCGTGTTCTCCTCTTTCTCTTCCTATCACTTACCTGTCACACTCCTTCATCTGTCACTCTCTCTCTCTCAGTTTCCAGATGAATATTCATCTTTTTCACCTTCTGTCCCACAACTCCACCACTGATGTATGTAGATAAATTGTCATGCCTCTGAGTTAGAAAATGAAAAGATCATCTGTTCTTCTGCGCACTGATCCCTGGAGTCTCTACAGGATACAACTCCTTGTAGCGTGTGAGCTTTTCCTCCACGCAAGCTAGCAGCCTTTAGCCCTTTTTCGGGCTCTAAGACCTTTTCGTTTTTCCCTTGAGCTTTTTCCTCGAGGATTTCTTTCCCCAGGTCTCTCCACCCTCTCTCCTCGAAATCTATAGTTTCTTCACGATTAACAGTCGAAAATCGACGCTTCCTCAACCCATCATCAACTATCCACTCCAATCTCTCCAATCATTCAAATCAAATCCCATCATGTCAAACTCTAAAAACCCTCCCATTCTCCTCAACGACTCGAACTACTCCACCTGGTCGTTTCTCATGGTAGCAAAGCTGAGCAAACTTGACGCTCTCGATGTCGTTCTGGGCACCATCAAGAAACCGAAGTTGGAAGATCCTGAAAAACCGACAAAAGAAGCGCTTGCGTATGAAGAAATCAATCGGATCGCTTACATTGAACTTATCGAGCATCTGGACAACAATCACTTGGCTTACGTTTCCCAGATACTCGTCGACGATACCTCGTTCTGCGGTTTCTCTGTCTGGCAGATCTTGAAGAAAAAGTACGCAGGTGACGACTACGTAGCAAAGGATTTAGCTCTCGAGAAGTTTCTCGATCTCGACTATCATGGATCCACGACCGATTTCATCTCCGAAGTCCGCGCTGCCAATCAAAAGCTCATCTCCTCCAAGATTGGTCTCGACGATCAAGTCAAGACCGCGATAATCCTTCGAAAGCTCCCCTCTGAATTTCAATCCCTCAAAACAGTTCTCAGCATCGGCTGCTCAGGCGACACCGTAGCCATGATGCTGAATCGAATCGAACGACACGCAGCTCAAAATCATCTTGACCGATCATTGTCAGCCCCCTCGCAACAAGCCCTCCTGACCACCGACGATAAGTTCTATCTCTGCCCTCACTGCAAGAAGGGATTTACGATCTGCTCCCACTGCGACAAAGCCGGTCACCGCGAAGCTATCTGCTTTGAGAAGCACCCCGATCGACGCCCCACCAAGTCATCGACCTCCACGTCAACTTCCAAACCTGCCGCCTCAGCTCAGGCCCATCTTGCCTTCACCGCTCCCCATGGTTTCACTCCTGAACAAGTTGAATCCGAACGAAACTTCCAGGCAATGCTTGCTAACCCAGAATTCAAGAAACTGAACATCAACTCCGAGTATCGATTGTAGGTTCTGTGGTCCATCAGTTGGGGGGGGTGTTGGAATTCTGAAGCTATCGTGTTCTCCTCTTTCTCTTCCTATCACTTACCTGTCACACTCCTTCATCTGTCACTCTCTCTCTCTCAGTTTCCAGATGAATATTCATCTTTTTCACCTTCTGTCCCACAACTCCACCACTGATGTATGTAGATAAATTGTCATGCCTCTGAGTTAGAAAATGAAAAGATCATCTGTTCTTCTGCGCACTGATCCCTGGAGTCTCTACAGGATACAACTCCTTGTAGCGTGTGAGCTTTTCCTCCACGCAAGCTAGCAGCCTTTAGCCCTTTTTCGGGCTCTAAGACCTTTTCGTTTTTCCCTTGAGCTTTTTCCTCGAGGATTTCTTTCCCCAGGTCTCTCCACCCTCTCTCCTCGAAATCTATAGTTTCTTCACAAACGAATGGAAAGAGTGAGAGATTTAACAGAATCCTGGAGGCTGCGATTTTCCGTTTGAACACCACCGGCGACCCGGCTAGGTGGGAGGATTTCTTAGACGCAGCGCTGTTCTCTACGAGAATCCATGTCAGTGATAGTAGTGGGTTTTCCCCGTTTGAGTTACTCTACGGGGTGAGACCGCGCTTGCCCAAAGATAGAAGGCGTATGATCGCCGCAGAGCCGGTATTGCCGGGAGCGGAGGAGCTGAAAGCTCGGATAGAGGCCCTTAATAAGACCAGGGGTGTTGCTACGCATAGAGTCGCTAAGAAGGCCCTTAAGAACAAGGACGCCTTCGACGCGAATACTCCTTTCGCTCGAGATTTGGACAGCCTGGCTGTAGGCCAGTCAGTTAAACTTCGGAATGAAAAACACACCAAAGGAGAGCCTCGGTGGTTTGGACCTTTCGAGATCGCAAAGGTGTTGGACAATAATGTCTACATCTTAGTTGATCATGATGGAGTAGAATACCCGAGGCCGGTGAATGGGAACAACATTCAACCGGTTTCCCTCAGGTCACTTATTGTTAATGACATGTGGGCAACTCCACCCGCTATTGCTCAGTGGGAGAAGCGGGTCGAGACCAAGGTCGCCAAAGCGTTAATTAAGAAGGCGAAAGCTATTGCCAAGCCTGTTAAGACGGTGGCATCGGGCACGATTGAAGGGCCCGGGGCTCCTCCGGTTCAGCCGCCGGCCAGGCGTCTACGTCTCCGGTTGGGACCGCCGCCTGCAGGGTCCGGGACGGACCCAGGGTAAGGGGGGGGGATGTTGTAGCCGTGCTACAGGGTTTCCAGACAGGATGACGCAACAAGCCTGGCAGACGCCAGGTACTTGTTGAGTTGTCTATAGATGTCGGCTAGCGCCGGAGTTAGGAACCGAACTCCGTTCGATTCCCATTTCCTTATTCTTCCGCTTGAATGAATTACTATTCATTCTGGCGTCATATTTCATATTTTCGGTTGTCATTTGTTCTTTTCTGTCCGAGAGTCTTTTCTGTTCGGACAAGTATAAATACTTGTCCTCGGTTGTAGGGGCTCTCCCCAGTCATTCAGACATCTTTCTTCTCGCTCCGGAAATCCATTCTTGATTTCATAGACATCTTTCTTCTCGCTCCGGAAATCCATTCTTGATTTCATATACATCCTTTTCGTCGCGCATCCTCAGTATAGCCAGGCTCCTCTTAGTCTGTAGCCGCCCCGTTACAGGACCCGGAAGTGAAAGAAGGCCGATCGACGAGAGGTCAGATGAACCACCACTTCATCAGGGTCAGTCTGGCCAGGGCCTGCTCCTCCAACCGAACATGACCCTCCGAACAGCCGTCCCCTCCTTCCGAGGTAACGCCAAACCACTCAAGTCTCCTCCGAGGAAGTCGCGCAAATTGTGTCAAGCTTGCTCCTCACCAAATTTAGTCCACCGGCTTCAGCCCCCCCCCCCCCCACGTTGGCAGCAGCGGTTTAGACTCAGCTGCTAAAGCAGGGATCAAACTGATTTGTCCAAATTGTCAAAACACCCAGGGCGAAGGGCTAGAACTGGTCTGACAACTGAACCTACCCAGAACTTGTCCGACCCAAAAAATAGCATATAAGAATTAAAAATAAAATAAAATAATAAAATAAAATAAAATAAACAACCCCGTGATCCGATTTTTGTGATTTCTAGACCTTGCAGAATCTGACTTGTCAAGATGCAAGCCTTATTTATCAATGTAAATCTATGACTTCCCGTCAACATCTGCGGGTCTCCCAGTTTCCATTTAGAGCCACAAAAGCTAGATTTCCCTGCAAAAATCTAGACTTTTTGGGTCTAAATCAAAAACTGCAAGGGTCCCAGATCCGACGGGAAGTCCTCCAATATGCTCAAGGGCATGAGTATGTCCATCTATTCAACTGAATGTTTTTTGTGCTCGACATGGAACAAAGATGTAGACTGTTCCGCTCAAGCTGATAAATAAAAAAAAATGATGATGATGATGATACAGTCTTCTATGTAAATGACAACTTCTATACATCCCATTATGTAGTAGAATTAACTAATCCAAAGGAGATAAATTATCTATGAAACCATTTTGACGATCAAGCCAATGAAAAATGTGCCCACAAAAGGGTAAATCAAATACTGTTTTTTTGTTATGGTATTGATAATGTATGAAAAATAAACAACGATTAGCAAGTCTTTCCTCATCAAGAGAGAGAGAGAGAGAGAGAAAGAGAGAAAGGTGAGTGTAAATAAAAGCATAAAAATTCGAGACTTGCCTGTAGTGCGACAAAAGAACAAAGTAAATCAACGTTACTAGCCACTTCTTCATCTGAACTTTCTCCCGGCTTTATATAGATGCCAGCAGCAATCGAGCTTAGTGAGATTTGATTTGTTGAAGTGACAGTGCAAGAGTAATAGAGAGATATCAATTTCAAGACCCTGCCCTCTTCGCCGGCGAAGAAGTTTGTGTATCCATCGATGAAGGAGACCGCGACGATTCCAAGAGCCGGAAGACAGACCAGTTTGATGAGCGTCAATCCGAATATGGCCCTCAGTGGTAATCGGAACCACGACCTTCGGGGGATTGACATGTTGGCAAAGCTTGCACCAGTCACCAGTAGTCCAAGCGGAATCGCGGCGGCGCCTAGATATTCCGTGGAATCTAGAATCACCGATAGGAGTGGCTTTCCATCTGGTGCACTAGGCTCTTGGACCGCATGGTCTTTCAGCTTGGTGAACAACCCTTTCAACGGCGGCGTCACTGCTACAAGTGTCCCGAATAATAGCGACACAATGACCGGTGACAGATTATTCAATAAGCCCGACAAAACGCCTTTCTGACCTCGACTTTGCCGACTCGAAAATTGCTGGTCTGAGATTGGTCGAATCAATATATCAGTATATGATTCACGAATAAATACAGATATCAAGATTCACACTTCTTGGCCAAGTGAAGTGTTTCTTACCGGCTCGTATCTCAGCCTCTGGAGAAGCTTCTTGCAGAGTTTTGGTGTTCATTAATTTTTCAATAAATGAGTCAGCCAAGGTAATTGTGAGTGGATGTATGAGTGCTCGGGGGTCACTAGTTACCTCTCATGGGTCGATTAGCCTCTCCATTTTGACCTGTTTGCTCATCAATACTAGGTCTTTCGTTTTGGTTCACCGTGGGGTCATATGGAAGATATGGTGTTGTGATGGCGGCTTCTTCAGTTTTCATATAATCTCGATCGATCATTCTGTTAATCATCATCCGGATGGAAGCCAGGGTGATAATAGAACAAGGATTATCGGACATTCAGCTCTGGCCCAATCAATCAAAAAAACATCGCTGTGAAAATGAAAACGACGGGACAGTAGCTGAAAAATTCACTTTGTCCCCGGGCCCACAAACATCATAACCTACAGTGCGGTCCAAGGATGGCTACATCAACATCAATTTTATTCTAGCGTGATCAATCTTCCCAAGGGGTGCCTTATCACAGAAGCGTGTTGCGCTTTTGGACTGACATTGTAAACCATTACAAAAAATGACGCGTACGAAACTCCCATCTCGACGTCTTCAGGCTTCCCAAACGGTGGTCCACCTGTCAGGGATTGTATCACACTCATTGGGATATTTCCTGTAACCCAAAAAAACAATGTTGCGAGAAGTTTAATTTGACTGATCATTTAATGGGGATGAGGATTATGAAGAAAGCTCACCCCAGTTGGACCACTATGTACAGCATTGAAAGGATACCACAATTTACCGGTTGAGGATGGGCAATATATTGGCAAAGGAATGAGGTTCGTGAGAATTATTCTTCGTGCAAATATCTTCATCGCTACCTTTTGAAAGAAAGAGAATATGCGTCCTCACTCACCACCGCAGCCACGATGAATCCGTTTCGAAAGTTGTTCGGCACAGGGACCACCATCAAAAGTGCCTTGGAGAGGAGATAGCTCATCAACTGTCCAAAAAAGAAAACAGGGGAAAATCAATCTTCTGCTCTCAGGAGTCCGATCGATCGTACAAACCCTTTGGAAAGTTTTGTCTCTAATGAATGATTGATGAACACACCATGTAGAAAAGACCAAAGCCAACGCAAACCAGGATCCGAGGTGAGTTTTGGGCGGTGATCGATGGAACGACATTGGAAAACATTAAACACTTTATTCAATCGAGTTTCCAAAAAAAAACAGACCATCAGTGATCCTGAATGCCAGTCAGAATGATTTCCAAATGAGAATTCTGATCAAGATGAATTAGAAAGCATGCTTACCGGAAGAGCTCCATAGATCTGGATATGAGCAGCAGCCTTCAAGCCATCTTGATCGAGCTTTCGATACCTGACCATTGCGGCGCCCACGGCGGTCGGCAGTAAAACCTGCAAAAGAAGACGGTGAAGAAGACGGTGAGCGAATGGATCCCCCATGGTGTGTGTCAAGTTGAGAGACTTGCCTTGATGAGCGGTTTGATGGAGATCCATACTAGTTGGGACAGGCTTAAGTCGGACATGGACACCACTGGAGCGCTCAGAACATGGGCAAAGCGATGCTTAAGAAACTCCGAATCGTCTCTCTTTTTTTTTGATAGGTTATGTATTATGTGGTTGTGGTCAAGGGGCCTGCTTTTATCACATGCCCAAATGATTAATGGCCTTAGTTAAGCGATCGACTGTAAGAAGTTCGGCTGACTTTTCCTGCACATTCGATCTTCAGCTCATGGGTTGTATGCATGTGCGCAAACAAAAGGGAACAGCAGAAGCCAGCCATGAAACATGTCTCACCACCTCATCAGCCGAATGCATTCATCAAAAACTTTGGAGGTCATCGGAAGGTCGATGACTGTCAACCGATGGTAAGCCCGGTCTTACAGCCTTGAATATTTGGATTAGAGGCAATTCTCTCCGACGTGGTGCAAAGTAAACATACAATAACAATCGTCATCAGACAAGCAAGCTTATCAGAATCTTGAAGGATTTCTTGGGATCACTAGAGTTGGTATGCAAGGCCCTCGGACCATCCGTCCTTAGTCTTACACTGACGGTATGTGGCTCACATCTGTTCCGTTGCAAGGGGCCTTCGAAATATTGTGATGCACTGTATGAAGTTTGCACATGGCCAAAAAGGACCAAGTCAGGTGGCTTGAAACAATGGTCTTTAGGATGTTAAAAAATCTATCAAGATTGGCTCCTTGAGGAAAATATGATCTTGCTGGTTTGGGCAGAATGAAATGAGTAAAAGATGATGGATTGATGCTGATAGAGATTGATCATAACAAGAAGGAAGAAAAAAACCCAAGCTGGTCAAATATGTAGGAAATGGATTAGAGACAACCTAAAAGAATAAAGTCAATGATATTCTTGGATCCAAATTCATTCATTTGCTAGGGTTACAGTTTGATTGCCTTCTCAAGCTCAAGATGAATGAGGAAATTGACAAAGTCAAACACACATTGAGAGGTGATCCAGTTGATGTGCAAGGTTGACATACACAGATCATCCTCGATACAAGCTGAGCAATTGAAAGTTGCAGTGATTTCTCTGATTGATGGTAAATCATCAGCAGTCATAGCTTCTAATCTTGCCTTGCTTTCAGTGGAGGATTGGGCAGCAACAAGGGCGTCAAAATCCACAAATCTCTTCGAAATCTCGTCAAATCTCGCACAGTTTATTGCCGGTTGATGCTCTCGATCACGGGCACATTCCCGCAGAAGAACCACCACAAAGTATCTCCAGTACTTCTTTGGGAGCACTTTTTGATCATCCCCCCCCCCCAAAAAAAAAATCAATGATCATGAAAAATGCCATAGTCAGTGCATATGACATCCAAACAAACAGAAAAACTTTTCATGGATACTTCTCTCACCTGCAATTGACTTTTGAAAGGGTTGCCAGTCAAGATAGTATTGTAAGTCTCTTAATGTTTGCATAGTATTGTTATATCTTATAATAACTTCCATCCACAACTTTGAAGTGTGCATCACAGTTTGAACATGGAACTGAAACATCTCGATAATTGTGACTGGCTGATATAGTTCAATTCTTTCCATATATGCCGCAGGGATCAGATTGAACTGATGAACAAAATTGCCCATGGAGAGTAAACATTTCTGGGATTGGAGCTCTGCCAGATAGACTTCATATAACTTCCGATTTTGATCATCATTCAAATTTGGTGGATGTTGATGGTTCAACCTCCATTCATTCAGCTTTTCTTGCAAGGAGTCCCAAGTCTGGACCAGTTCCTGCCAGATAAGATCCTTAACATGGCCCAGTTCATCCCCTCTTAATTCTGCCACAGGAGGGCTTCCAACCTTCAAATTCCCGTCTCTGGTTCTCTTCTTTCCCTTTCTTCCTCCTCCAAGGATCTTCTGGTTTTCTAGTTGGAAATTTCTCTCTTCATGGGTTTCAGGTCTTGAGAAGAGGGATGTCATTTGGAAGCCTTTGCCTTTCACATCAAATATATGTTGTTCCATGGGTCGCTTGAGGAATGAATAAAGCTTTTCTAGCCCTGATTTAAACTCTAAAATCTCAGGAAAATCATTCCATTTGAGCAATCCAATCTCCTTCAAGATTCCATCTCTTTCAATCCTCATGGATTTAATCTCAGCTATAAAAGTAAGCAAATGGGTTTTAGTCTAGATTCATATGTGCAAGGGGTGCTGATTGGAATGAAGGTCAAATAATTGTTACCAGATTTACCTTGTTGTTGTTTGACCAACTGCTGAGCCCCAACATCCTTTTCCCCACCAAACATGCCACTAAAATCAATATCTACCCAGATGTGCAGATTTATTCACCAGGATCAAGATACTCACTGGAGGATAGATGATAGATTTGAGATAATTCCACACAGGCTGAATGATCTCCCTCAAGCATTGTGGCAAGAATCTGGTTCCAATTTGAGATAAGGAAACAGCCCGCCATGGAGTGATTCTTTCAATCCTTGCTTCTTGAGTTGCAGAAGTCCTTCTATAAATTGAGTCTCTAACAGGGATAGGCCTTTTTGAGACTGGATCTTCAAAAATATGTACTTTGCTTGCTGTAGACAACAGCTCAAAGAGAGGGATAATCAGTGTTTCAAGAAAGATGGGGATGGAAAGGTCCTGACTTGCCTATTTGCAGACCCTCAGCCTCATATGACTTCTCCTCTAGCATGCATAGTGAAAAGTAAAAGTCTCCCAAGATATACCAAGCAAGAAAAAGATGTGATTTACCAAATTGCATGATCATATGATTAACTATGTTGGGTTTGGAAAAATTGCTCAGAAGAAGAAACAGGTATATGTCCACATGGGAGCTCTCCCTTAGAGCTATTAACACCAATCCTTTCAGGTCCAACATGTCTCATCCAGCTTGTTTGATGAGTATGATGTTACTCCAACCTAACTTTGGATTCAACACTTTCAGGATTTGAAAACTGCAGAGGGTTGGGTGAGACAGCTCAGGGAAACTGTGCAACCAAGATCATCAAGCCATGATTGCACAGAGCTTGAAAGGAACTAATAGATATTCCAGAGCTTACTGAATTAAATCAATAGAAACTATGTAAATACAGCAAAGCAGATATGCACATAGAAGGCCAAAACAATCAAGATAAACTTGCTTTGTATGTACATACATAGACAAACTTGAATCTCAAAATTGAAAACCATCTGCCAGAAGTAACATATAAAACTTATGAGTCTATGAAGCATCAAGTTTGAATAGCCTATGTACCTACCAGATGAAAAAAGTGAACAGACCAGACATAAATGGTGTAAACTGTCAGTATGTCCTGCTGGCAGACTGAGAAACACAAATTTATTGTAACTAACAGTGCCTCAATAACCTGTACTGACCTGCCTTCAAAATTTACAATTTGCACGCAGGCCCTCATGGTAGGGGGCACATAGGCTCAACCCCCCACCTGACCCTAGCTTATGATAATCCCCTCAACCAGAGGGCCGGGGGCACCTTGCAAAGCAAGCCTCTGAAAGAGGGGCGTACAAGTCAAGTCAAAATCTTGGCCTGGAAGCTGGTACTTTTTGTGGATTTTCTGGGATCTTTCACACACAACAGACCATTACCCCCAGCCCATCCAACTAAATGAACAGTGGTAAAGTTTGTCGGATAAGTGAGCATATCACTTTGGTGTCCATATTTTTTTGAATATTTGTGATGAACACCTATCCATCCTTTGGATAGAAAGTGGGGGGCTTGATTTCAGTTGAAACCCACCTTATTGCATATATGGTGGTACAACACATAGTATGAGTTAGCCTGTGAGCCTCTGGTTCATTCTGTACAGGAATCATGGGTACCACATCCTGCCACACGTCACCGGTAATGCTCAGTGATAGACACAGGTAGTTATGTCGCATGTACAAAGTTTCTATATCCATGAATCAATACACACATAGTATTACAGAAGACCGATGAGGTTTGATGAATGAACTTGAGGTCCCTCATCAACCTCATGAGTCATGGAAAAATGACCTTTTTGAAAGGCAGGTGGGGGCCAATGTAGAGGGCCCCTGGACTTGTGAGGAAGAAAAAAAGTTAGATACAATTCAGACCTTTTGCCTGGTCCAAATGGCTGAAAATATTGACTAGGGGAAGAGGGGGTGATTGCCTGGGCAGCTTTTTTCCCTACTAACAACCCCCAGTTTCCAAGCCAAAATGTGGGCTTCAGTTGCAAGTCCCTCCTTTGGAGGCTAACTTTGCAGTGGGTGTTTTGTGCCAGCCTGGCATCAGGCTCTCCAATAAAGGGACTTTTTGTTAAGTTAGCACCTGACCACAATTTTGATTGTTCCAGACCAAAGGGAGTTCAGAATTAACTTGGTTGAGGCAACTGACCAACGGTTCTTTCTTTCTTTTTTTTCTTCTCTGACCCATCGGACCCGGTCTATAGATACTTTAATAAGTACATATGTATGGATTTACAGGTAATTTTTTGGCTTAAGGAAGGCCATACATGACATAAGTACATGCTTTTAACCCATACCCAAAGGTCAAGAAGGCTCAGAGCAATGCAAACCTCAGGTTGAAGTTGAATGCACAACCATTGTCAAGGCCACAATCCACCCAGGACCACTAGACTAACACAGCATGCAAATGGTTGACGCTTTCCCAAAAGTCAACATGACATTTGACGTGCAAACATCAACCAAATGGTGGGGCTGGGCTGACATTTTTGTTGATCGACGTAAAACACCGCCCGACTGTGTGAACCTGGGTCTCAAAAGTGACAGCAGGACACAAGGATTGGGGGGTAAATCTAGATGTATTTCAGAAGGATAAAGAAATACAACTAGACTGAGAGAAAAGGAAAGAGAAAGAAATGAGAAAAAGAAAAGAATAAAGATTTTTTATCAGTTTATTTATTTTATAATAAAGGTTTGGAATGCAGTCTTACTTTCCTGAAAAGGATGGCTGTTATTTAAGCGGAATTAATCTACGCCTCCTATCAACTGAAACTGAATAGGGTACTTGGTATTGATATATCAATCCAACCTCAATTTTTTAGATCAAAGATCAAGGTTCTTCAAAGGGAAACCTAGGTGGTTTTCTGTTATACCACCAAACAGAGAGTAAAGATGACTTGGTTTGATTTAATAATGATTTAGGCAGAGGTTTAGCAGCGGTGGGCCGCTACGCTACACTACGCTACGGGCCCATGTAGCGTTAGCATAGCGGCGCCATTTTCTTTTCGTGTAGTGTTAGCGCTCCGCTAAGGCCGCTGCGCTACGCTAATTCGTAGCGGCGCTAACACTCACCAATTTTTGGTGTAGTGTTAGCGCGCCTCTGGCGCCGCTACGCTGCGTTACGCTACGCTACAGCGTTTTTAGCGGCAAAAAACGCCTAAAAACCGCTAAAAACTGCTGTAGCGCAGCGTAGCAGGCGGTTTTTTGCGCCCTGCGCGCGTAGCGTTAGCGCAGATGGGGGGAAAGGCGCTAACGCTAGCGCAAGTTTTTTCCCCATTCGCGTAGCGTTAGCGCGGAAAAAGAGAAAAGCGCTAACGCTACGCTAAATTGTAGCGGTTTTTTGCTACACTACGCTACGCTAACGCTACGGTTAGCGTAGCTGGCCCACTGTTGGGTTTAGTAGAAAAGGAATGATGTGATCATTCAGAGAGACAGAGAAGAAACTTAGCAGAAAGATGCAAGCTGAACTTGAAGGAGTGACTTACTATTTGGTGATCCTGACACTGAGAGTGGGAAGATTCCGAAGAGTAAAGGACTCCAAACAATAACACGGCAATGATACGGCGGTGAATCCAAGTTGAGGTATGCTGGTTTTCTGGTCTGAGTTGGTTCTGGGTGGGTCTGAACCTTGAAGATCCTGAAAATGCAAACTCAGTGTCTACTGAAAAAATTTTCAGAGTTGGATTACATAATCACAACATGTACATGTAGTAGAGAGTTGGAATTCCAACTTGGTTGATATTTCACAAGGTACTGTGAAATATTACAAAGTCTATGAAGGAGAAGAGTAGTGTAAAAGTGTGTAGTGGTGACTAAGGTTAAAATTAACAGAGGAATTCATTTCTGAAGTCAGAAAGTAATAAAAGATTAATATGAAAAAGTTAAAGTAGGGACTTGAGTGAAAAGGGGGGACTTAAGCAGTCTTTTGGCCAGCTTGGCTGACTCTAAGGCTGACAGACTGCATGTATTGTAAAGCACATATGACTTCTGATCTTCCTGGCCGGTTCCACCCAGGTCAAAAAATTCCTGATTTGGTAGTATTCTCACCAAAAAAAAATGGTCCGCAACCGTCTGGACCCAAAAAAATGTGACCGGTTAATGGCATTTGCAACTGTACAGTACATTTAGCATAGTTTTCCAGCTAACCTGATGTACTTATGGTGTCAACAGGCAAGAGTGTAACACATGTAGTGACACTCTTGACTGTGACAAATAGTATAAAATATCAATTAAGATGTAATAAGAATAAAACATAAATAATGTAGAACAAACAAATACACCATGGGGCGGGTTTTTAGAAAACCCCCCCAGCAAACGGATGGATTCCGTCCCGAGCGCCCGCAACTTGGTTGTGAAGCATCCAACGCACGCTCGGGCTCGCCTGGCATCATTTGGACGCTTCAGAAAAGTGTCCAAGGGATGCTCAGCAGGCGAGACCATCCAGGCATTGGCATACAGCCCACCGTCCATTGGACACTTGATTGAGAGTGTCCAATGGACAACAGGAAAACCATCAAATGGACGCTTCTCAGAGTGTCCATTTGATGGTTCACATGTGGGTCCACAGTCAAAAAAAAATGGTCAATGGTCGAAAAATAGGCTTGGAGGGTGGTCAATGGTCGAAAAACCATCCTGAGATGCATCTGGGGGGATATGAATAACGTTTGTGTGGATTCAGCATGAAGTCACATAGTATAGTGGCCATGTGCTCCCTTCTGCATCTGGCTGATGTGAGGTGGTTTTGGAGGCAGGTTGCCAGACACTTTTTGCACCCTAGGTGCTTCCCAGCCTACCATACGATGGATGGTTTGGCCCTACCATACGGGTTCAGCAATATGCAAGTCGCATCCGATGGATGCTCCTTGCAGGGCCAAGGTTGGATGGAATCTGGTACATCCGATTGGGTGTCCAAATGCCATCCACCACGCCCCGTGGTGTAATCAACACAAGGTAAGACTGTAAATTGATGAGATCACCAACAGGTGAACAAGCAAGTGGAGGTTTGTATAAGATAAACATAAATACAAACCTGCTGGGTAAAGATTATCTTAGAGCAAGCAGGCTACCTTGGTCTAAGAGGACCCTTAATTAAAATTGGACTATGATCTCATAGTTTGTTTTTAGGGATAACCCCAGAACAGAAGCTGGGAATACTTAAAGAGGTGGTTTGAGCGAAGAAGGAGATCTCTTCTCTTTTTCCCCAGCAAAAATTTACCAATTGAATAAAGAGATAAACTAATCACTCAATCCGAAGAGCATTCACTAAAAAGATATAACCTTTTAGAAATACCTCTCGTATTGAAAGATTCTTTCATACTTTATTCTATTTATTATTGCCTATCACTCTCAGCCTTCCGGTACAAGCCTCGGTAACACTGGTCTGTTACCTATTGCTTGTTACTAGTCACTACTCATTCCCATCTCGACAATCTGTCGCTGTTTGGATTGCCCTGGCTATTAGCTACAGGAAGCTCAAGTAAGCCTCAAGCGCACTTTTGACCTGAGCCTTGATTGAACTAACCCTATATCATCTCATCATTTTATAGTCTACAGTTATAGCACTACGACTCCTTATCGTAAGTAGCATTAGCCTGACATACGGCCACTACATACAGACAAACGGCAATCTGAGAAAGCTTGCAGTCTTGGTTGGCAAAAAAAAAGAAAAACATGGTCCAAAGCTGGAATGTTTGGAAGACTACAGCACCCTGTATGCCCACTTGCATACGGGGTTTACTTTTGATTTTTTTGCTGCCTTTTTTATCACTGATTCAGCTCATGAGGGTTAGAGATGGTTGCTTGCCATCCGGTGTGGTCATTATTCCTGTGTATGAAGGGAGGAAAATTTAAAATTTTATTATTTATCAATCAAGGACTCAAGATAGGGACAAATGGATGTCAGAAATGGAATCTACGGCCAATTTAACCCCTAGTCACTCACTGGAACCACCTTCATATCTCTACTGGATCAGAAGTTACGCAGAATCAAGGATGTCACACGGAGAATCACAGGATCAGAGGCACTCAGCTGGAGGGTATATTGCATGGGGGTATATTGCATATTGCATATTGAATTCCTTTATTTCATATTGAATTCCTTTTATACTTACATAACCACAAGTTGGCCACCAGTTGTACCAGTTAAATTCCCATTTATTCAGCCACAGAACACATGAATTCCTTTCTTACAGCTTACATATAAAAGGAATGCGTTGTAGATAGTCTAGCCAAAATCCCTCAGGATTTTCAAGGATAGGGCAGCTAAAATGCCTCATACAGGGGGTCCCTTGGGGCTAAAATCCCTCATAAATTACTATATAAGGAGGCCTCTGCCTGCCAGTTGTTTCCCTCCTGATCCCACTCAGTACACCACAGGTTGAGTTTTGGAAATGGCACTCCGTCGGCTTGACCCCGCGGTCAAGCACTGGTCGGGCTTAACCCCTTTTACGCAATCCCGCCGGATTGGTCTGGCCAACGTCAATTTTAGGTAGGAAAAATGTAATTCCAACGTTGGCTTGACCTCAGGGTCAAAAGAGTCCCACCGTCGGCTTGACCCCATGTCTGAAAA